AGAGAGAGAGAGGGAGAGAGGGAGAGAGAGAGAGAAGTGAAATGACGCTTACCGGAAAAGGCTTGTAATCCAACTCGATTTATTCAAGCTTTTGATCAATATTTAAAATAATTTACAAATATTTGATGAATAGGATAAGAAAGGTACCCACATACGCTTATATAAAAACAGTCATGATTGATAAGTGAATAGTTAACAAGATTCAAATATGGCTCAAGAAGAATAGATAAATTAACCTGTCCATAAGCTAGAATAAGTTATATACGCTTAACATAGTAACCGACACTATAAAAATATAATATAACACTAAATAAATAGTAGGTATTATTTTGTTTTCAAAATTCATAATAGTATTGTCTGACTTAGTAACAATAAAGAAAATACAAAAATGAAATATGTAACTATTGATTTACAGCATTTTACATTACAATAACAACAAAAACAAAAACCAAAAAAAAAAGAACAGCGAAGACAAACAAAACAATGTGTTATTATATTCCCTATTGAAAGTAAATGGTTGTAACTTTACTATAGAGAAAAAAAAACCTTATACATCTATAGGTATGAATTAGTTAAAAATGGACGTCATTGAATATAAATGCTTAACATGATTTCAATTTTTAACAAATAGTTCACCATTTGTAAGCAATGATGGATAGTGGCTAGCAGTTTGGGACTCGTCAGCTGTATGTACCTGGATCTCACAGAGTTGATGTTCACTCTGGGACTCGAACCCAGTATCATTCGCTTCAAACGCCATCGCTTTATCCACACAGCTACTGAGTCCTGATAACCACTTGCTTGTGCAATGGGGTGAATTTGAATTCACTTGGTGTTGTTTGGCTTGTATCTTCCCATTGAGGTTTAAGACTGCAATTGATCAGTCTCTTGTTGATATATGTGCATGCTGTGCGTATGCCTCGATATTACCTTAATTCACAAGCTATTTGTAAGCAATGATGGATAGTGGCTAGCAGTATGCACATATGGCAATAACAGACTGATCAAATGCAGTCTTAAACCTCAATGGGAAGATACAAGCTAAACAATACCAAGTGAAATAGTTCACTAGTTGAAAATAAAATAGATGATGTAACGGCTTTCTTTTGTTGTTCTTGATTATTTATTCAAGTTGAAAATGTCATTGTGAGATGTATAATTCACTGGATTATCTTCTTTATAGAATGTTTTTTTCAAATGAAGTTTTTCATTGTATTCTTTTTTATCAGTATAGTTTTTGTAAAGGTACCTTCCCATTAATAGTAACAATACGTGAAATATTCAATTTTATTAGTAAAGTAGCAGAAAGTATAGTTTAATTTGAACATATCAGAAGAGGAATACACAAATAATTTAGTAATTTAATAGTTGAATTCATAAGTCAATTGAAGCTAGACCACTATGGAAAACTTGTAATCAGTTGGCGGCTGTTTCGTCCTAGTATGGGACTTTTCAGCTGTATGCATCCAATGGTGGATGATGGCGCAATTTCGTGGGTTGGTTGAAGTCAGACATTAACACCGTTGGATGCCAACCGGCTCGGTTGTCTAGAGGTTAATGGTTCGCGCTCGAGACTGATTGGTCCTGGGGCGGAACCGTGGATGTATATTGCTGAAAGGTCCCATGTGAGGACGAAACGGTTGTCTAGTTCTTACACGTTTTACATGATGTCCTAGATTTAATTAAGTCATGAATTCAACTAATAAATTACTACTATATCCACAGAAACCCTTCTCTGATTATAATTCAGATTATAATTCAGCAGTGTGTATTCACGATCCCGCCTTGCGAGACTCGAACTCTGTACCTAAGCTCACGAATGCTTAATCTCTAGACCAATGAACCGAGCGGCATCCAACGATGCTAAGATCTAACTTCAACCGATACACGAAATTGAGCCATTGGCCACCATCTTCTCAAGTGAGTCACTATCTCACAGCAGACCCCGGTTGAATTCCACTGGTCACCACTTCTCACTGGAACTCCTGGAAATACCTCTTGAAACCAGTCACTAATGAGCGCATGGTGAATATTATCAGGAGGGTTCTTGTGGAGGTTAAGCGTTTGCGCGCAAGACTGATACGTCCTGGGTTCGAGAACGTAGATGAGCACTGTTGAGGAGTCTAGCTATACGTCGAAACTGCCATCCAGTGCTTCCAGATATTGCAAGGTGGTCTAGCTTCAAATGACTCATGGATTCAAATATAAAGTAGAATAAAATTGTTAATGCTGATTAAATGTTAACGTGAATCAGCTTATATGTTAAGTGAAAATTTAAGATCCTTTGTCAGAATGAATATGGGTCAGATAGGCTGAGAGAAATATTAGTGCAATTACAATCCAATCAAATGTTTAGTGGAAGACCATATTGTGTGAAAAATTAGTAAGACGTAATAAGAAGGGATGGATGCGACTTGCATGAATCATGTATCGGGAAGATTAATAATGATGTTTAACCAATAGTAATAACAATCATGAAAATAATACAAAGATTTGTGAACAAAGGTAACAGCGAAGATTACATTTGACTGCTAAGGTCGTGAGTACAATAGTTAAATAAGGTCATTTAATAGCTAATTGGCTTTGAGGTTGGTCAAGAGAAGAGAAGCGGCTGAAGATATTACTTTTGTACGCATAGCTTCGGTTTCTTCATCCGGATGGCTACTGCTTCAGCCGTTTGAAGGATTTTAAGTCTGATAAGCTTCGTCAAAAAATTACTGACTCGATACATAATTGAAAAGGATAAGTTTATACTGACACTAAGACCAGTTTGCATTAAATTTGCTGATTATTTCTTTACCAAACCTTTACTTAGCTATTTAGATCAATTAACTTTTACGTAGGGTTCATTAGCAATTCTATTATGAATTTGTATTTGGGATAAAATATCGATAAGACGTTAGAATTTAACGCAATACTAATGAACATTAGTCTATCTAGGAACTTCTACTCTTGAACACAGGAACATCTGTCAATTATCTCTAATTCTATCCTTAGTAACTTAATCAAAATGCCATCTAATTTGGTTTATCTTTATTTAATACACTTTTTCAATGTTTAATTGCTATACCTTCCATTTTATACATTTATTGAAAATCAATAAGGCTGAAATCCATTGATTCACTTACTGATCATATAAATCTAATTTTCCTAATTATTGATGTTGATAAGGAGCTGTTTCATCTTGTCTACATTTGACCATCTATTAACATTATTATAAAAAGTGAAAATTTTTATTTTGTTCAAGATTTAATGAAGACATAGTAGTTGACAAAAAAACACATATGAAAATCACTGATTTTCAATAAAACATCAAGTCTATAAGCAAAGATGGATAATAGTTACCAGTGGAATTCGGAACACGCGTTTTGTCCTATTTCGGACTCATCAGCCGGATGTACCTGGATCCCAGATTTGATGCTCACTCTGGGACTCGAACCTAGTACCGTTCACTTCAAACGCCAGCTAAGTGGATAAGGCGATGGCGTGTGAGGTGAACGGCACTGGGTTCGAGTCCCGAAGTGAAAAACTCTGGGATGTAGGTACATCCAGTTGACTAGTCCGAAATAGAACAAAAAGAGCGTCCAACTGAATTCCACTGCTAACCACTATCCATCTTTGCTTAAAATGCTTGTGACTTAAGGCTAAATCGAGGCGATCCAGCACGAGACGCCCATATATCAACAAAAGACTGATCAATTGCAGTCCTAAATATAAATGGGAAGATACAAGTGAAGCAACACCAAGTGAACTAAATCTATGATTCAAAAAACAGCTCTCATTAATTTATCATCCTGCTGAATATTTTCAATGACCAGATCATTTGGAAGATCTCCATTATCGAAATGTTTATTTACTGTCACTTAACTAAGTGGACATTTTTATGGTAAATAAATTCTTTTAGTGTAATTATATTTCACATTTTGTGGATGAAACAATATATTTGTGGTATATACTACTTTGTCGACAGATATAAGTAGTATATAACACCAATCAGATATGGAATGCTTAGCAGCAGAAGTTTAAGAAGATCAAGTTGGAGAGAACAGGAATGTAAACAGAAAGTAATTGTAATAACGATAGAAATAAATGAACGATGAAGTTTATAAGAGTGTAGTGTCTGTTATTATGTTAAGCTCATATACCTTATTCTAGCTTTCGGACGGGCCAACATATTCATTCCACTTGAGTTACCTTTTGACCTTGTTAATTATTCGCTTATCAACCTTGACTGTTTTCATATGAATGTATGTGTGTGTACACTTCTTATCCCATTCATCAAATGTTTATAACTTATTTTTGTGTAAGTATAAATATTGATTAACCCTTGGTTAAACGGAGTTGGTTTACTCGCCATCTTCAGTGAGCGTCGTTTCATTTCGCTTTATTCTATTCGCTCCATATACAAAATATATGTATTCAAAAGTCCATTCTCGTTATTTGACTTATCAAAGTCCGTTATTGACTAAAGCGATTTAGGTCGATGATTATATACGAGGATAGGCGACATATGTATATATCAATAACAATCATTCATACAATTTAATAGGAGTCAGATCTCAGGCCACTTAAAAAGAGACAATTGATGAAAGACATGCAAACAAAGTATTCAATTTATAGTTTTCATATTTTCTAAAGATATTCATTGTATGTTTAATTTCATTCCCATGGATTCTTTCTAAATATAAGAATAAGTAAGAAAGATTAGAATGTAAGATTTTGTACGGATTTTTTCAAAGGAATCAATTTGCATATTCCCCCATTATGTATATAACTAACAATATGGTTTAGGGTGTTTTACATACTTCGTTTTTTCTTTTAAAGTTGAAGTTTTCCTTTCTATAAATAAATGTCCCAATATCTTTCAGTCTTTATGAATTACTATCTATTAACCATAAAACTACCACTCAATTTTTATTCTTTACTACATAACTCTTAGTTATGTACATAATAAGATATACTATTCATTGAATATTAGGCTTTTGTATTTTTTTTTATAGGTAATAATCATGTGAGCAAAGCAAGTGCTGTATTCCTACAATCGAAGAACATATGGAACTCAAAACAACTTTCAATCAATATCAAAGTCACAATCTTCAATACGAACATCAAAGCAGTCCTATTGTACGGAGCTGAAACTTGAAGAACTACGAAAACCATTATCCGAAAAATACAAGTGTTTATTAACAGTTTCTTACGCAAAATACTTCGGATCCGTTGTCTAGACACTATCAGCAACAACCTATTATTGGAGAGAATAAACCAGATTTCAGCTAAACAGGAAATTAGGAGAGTACGATGGAAGTGGATAGGACATACATTGGGAGGATCAACAAACGAAGCAAGCTCTAACTTGGAATTTTGAAGGGAAGTGGAAAAGAGGAAAACCAAAGAACACATTACGTCGAGAAATAGAATCAGCTATGAAAAGGATGAATAACAACTGAAAGGAGCTGGAAATGTTTGTCCATGACAGAGTTGGATGGAGAATGCTGGTGAGCGGCCTATGTTCCTTCACGAGGAGCAATAGGCATAAGTAAGTAATTAATTATCATGTGAGATTTTAAGTCTGAATAAAATTTCACTCTATAACGTGCTTAGTTTATGATTAGTGGGTTGAAAATGGGTGAATTTTTTCACTTGAACAATTAATGTAGTTTATTGGTTAGTAGGCTCAGTGTTAGTAAACATCGTCAAAGTTACAACAAACGTTAGTAATCAATGATAAATGTTAATGAATTAAAATGTAATGTTCTACCAGTATTTAATAAGCAAAAAGTTATTAAAAATAGAAAGTATTGGATAAATATTGCTTACACTACAAATACATAAATAAGTATCATGAAACTTTAGAGGAAAATGTTAGTGCTTTCACAAAACCCCTTCTGATATTGATCAACATATGCTCACTAGTGACGGTCCCCAATAGATATTCCCTGGAATTCTAGTGAGAAGTACCGACCAGTGGAGTTCAACTAGGTCTGTTGTGAGATATTAACTCATTGAAGATAATTGTGGATTTGTCGCTCAATTTAGTGCATTGGTTAAACTTAGACATTGACATCGTTGGATGCCGCTCGGTTCAGTGGTCTAGAAGTTAAACATTCACGTGCCAAACTGATGGGTCCTGGATTCGAGTCTCACGAGACGGGATCGTGGATGCGCGCTGCTGAGGAGGGCCATACTAGAACGAAACAGCCATCCAGTGCTCCCAGGTTTTCCATGGTAGTCTAGCTTGAAACTCACTCATGGTCTCAACCATTAAAATTAATGTAATACCCACAAAACTCCTCCTGATAAAAATGTAAGAGTTCATTTTAAATGTAATTACGTTCTATGTAAGCACTAGATTATAGAAGATATAGCTTCAATAGGTTTAGACTAATCATATATATATATTTTAGTGGTCCGAGATCTTACTCTAGTTCGATTATACGATTATCGTTGTTGAAATATACATGTCGGCTATCCTTGTATATCATCATTGACTTAAAGTCAGTGAATAACGGAATAAAATATGTCAAATACGAGATTGGATTTTGAATGTGTACATTTAATATAACCGTTGGTTGGAAAGAGAAGGAAAACGAAATGACACACATTGAAGTTGGCTCACTTGCCTTCTCTATTGCGTGTCATTACGTTTTGCTTCGCGTTCCGATTAGCGATTGTATGAAATGTACTCATTCAAATTTCATTCTCGTATTCACTTACGTGAGTTAAGTCGATGATTATGTACGAGGATTGAAGATATGTATATTTCGAAAATAATCATCATACGATCCAACTGGAGTCAGATATAGTGCAATGTTAAGCATGGTTTATGCATATATATATAGCTAACTATATTTTTTCGTGAAGGATAATTTACTGACAGTGCTGAAATAAGAAGATATCTCATAATGAATTCACTTATCCTTTTCAATATCAGGCTTTTATCTTCTATTAATGGATCTAAGTCTGTACAAACTTATAATAAAATACATCATTTTAACTCCATCAGTAATATAAACATATATTGAAAGTGTTGGGCAGCATCATTGATGAACACAATGGATTTGATGCAGATGTGAGGGCGCGGATTGGTAAAGCAATAACAGTATATCTACAGTTGAAGAATATCTGGAAATCAAAACAACTGACAACCAACATCAAAGTCACAATTTTCAATACAGATATGAAGACAGTTCTACTGTATGGGACCGAAACGTGGACAACCACTAACGTCATCATCCAGAAGACACAAGTGTTTATTAATATTTGTCTACACAAATACTTCGAATCCGTTGGCCGGACACTATCAGCAAGAACGTACTATGGGAGAGAACAAAGCAGATTCTAACGGAGGATGAAATGAGAAATAAGCGATGGAAGTGGATAGAACGTACATTGATGAAATCACCCAACAACGTCATAAGGCGAGTCAAAGGAAAAGAGGAAGTCCAAAGAACACATTATGTCGAGAAATGGAGACGGACATGAGAAAAATGAACAACAATTGGATAGAACTGTAAAGGAAGGCTGGGGACAGAGTGAGTTGGCGAATGTTGTTCGGTGGCATATGCTCCATTGGGAGTAATAGGCGTAAGTAAGTAATTAAGTAATATTGAAAGTGCTATTCAGTAAATAATAATAATATATCTTTCTTCATAACTCCGTCTGTAGCTCTTCCAGAGTTACTGCCGGTCCCAATCCCGGGTAAAGGAGGTGGGTTGGGCATAGGGTTAACGTTCCCATCCCGTAGAAAACTAACTCGCTAAAAAAACGCTTACCAGAAAAAATAATTCAAACCATTTAAACTCTGCTCTGGGAGTTAGAAGGTCTTGATTTAGTAGAATTATGACGTTTCATGGTGAAAGCAAGACGGTGGAAATGGATAGAACATACACTACGCAAATCTTCAAACTGCATCACGAGACAAGCCCTAACTTGGAATCCTGAAGGAAGGCCAATAAACACATTACGTAGGGAAATAAGAGCAGATATGAAAAGGATGAATAACAACTGGAAGGAGCTGGAAGGGATTACCCAGGACAGGGTTAGATGGCAAATGCTGGTGAGTGGCCTATGTTCCTTCACGAGGAGTAAGAGGCGTAAGTAAGTAAGTAAGTAAGTAAGTAATCTTTCTTCATACATAATTTCCTCAAAAGTTTTTACCAGATATATGAAAATCAACTCTCTAAGTAATCTATGATTATATAAATTATAATTAATAATTACCATTAGAAGATGACTTATATTCTATGTTTATTCAGATTATGTTTCTTTCCATAACACCTTTGTAGGACATAAAAAAGCAACCTATTTTCACACGTTAAAATACAAATAAATAATACTCAATCATTATAAAGGTTGTATCTCCCCCCCCCCGCCATTTGTGGAAAATATCATATATATATATTTATTTTTTCCAAAATGGAATATCTAACTGAAATACATCTAATTGGTTAACCACATAGAAACATGTTTACATTTACGGTTGTATATGTTTCTATTAGATGTAAACAGAATTAAAAACATATGTTCTAATGATATTTTGGCCCATTTCAACACCTTTCGTCTGATCATTAACATCTGCTTGTTACATATATACAATATCAAATAAAACAAATATTTCAGAGAGAGAGAGAAAAATAATGTTTTGCTTTGGTTTGGTAAGATGATTATAGAAACTATTTTATGAAGTTTGACTGTAAGTATTCTGTATTAGGGATACAATATTGTTTATCTGCTTAGGGGATAAGCTATATCGTATTACTACTTCCATGGAGAAGATTTGTAGTTCAAGTGGATGATTTTAATGGACTTTTGTTCTTTGAACTGAATGGTTTGGTTGTGAAGCTTTCATCGTCCTTTTAAACGACATCATTGACACAAACTTCAGGTAGAAGTGAAGTGTTCAAATTTATTCACATGTAGTTCACAGCTTGTCCTGTACAGTGGCATGGAGAATAGCTGAGTAGAGTGGGACAAAAATCAAACAAATGGGAGATATAACCAAAACAAATAAACAAACATTAACAGATTTAAGGTCAGCAAGAACCAGTCAACATCGAGATGTACGGGACAAGCTGTGAGCTACATGTGAAGAAATCCGAACGCTTCACTTCTACCAGAAGCTTGTGCTGATGACATTGTTCAGAAGAAAAGTGAAAGCTCTACGACCAAACCATCCTGTTCGGAGGACAAAAACTAATCAAAAAATACTTCCATGTATATTTGTTTGTTTAAAAACCCCTATGTAGAACAAGGTACATTAGTCATTCGTCGAGGAACATTTCCTGAAGCATAAGACAACATTTGATGGTATAGTTTGGTGAAGAACAACGCAATATTATTAAATCATCTATTTTATAGAGTATAGTAGGCTAGTGAAATAAACGAAAACACAGAACTTCACAACAGAACACATCAAACATTACAGTGATATGTGTATTGTTACATATGTCTTAAGTTGTTTTATAACCTATTAATTTAGATGTTATTCAACCTTATCAAATTAACAAAGGATATTTTTAGAGTGAAGCATATACAAGAACAGAAGTATTGTAAATATGCTCATTAATAACAATAACCAAACATTCAACATGATTTCCCCTAATATAATGGGATATAGTTACTGCTGTAAGCGTTTATTAAGCAGAGAGATAACCATCGATCGAGTGAACAAACTACTTCAGATTCTAAAACAATAGGCCTTTAAATTAATTCATATAGAAGGTCGGTCTGTTATAAGCCCCCAGATGCCCTGGTACGGCCGAGAGTGGGGAGAGTCCACTCTCCCTCTCCAAATGTCCTCACATGGCCACACGTATATAGCCTCTGCCAGAGAGGTTCTACTCACTGCCTTCTCGTGGCGGGGGTGTTGTTTACGAAATTGAGAAGACGAAAAGCGAATGTCCGTCACTTTAATCGGGTTAGTAGACACGGCGAGTCCATTTAGGGGAGTTGGAAAACCCTGATTCCCAACTAATGGTGCACATTGGCTCCAGTACCCTGAGAGAAAAAATGGTGTATGAACCAATTATTGATCACGGACTACTATGGGAATGCATCTTCTTACGATGCTCCACTGCCTTGTGGATCAGACCTTTAGGCCAAAGGCTCTGAGTGTGGCCTCTTAATAAAACCACCTGTTTCAGTCTGGGCAGCCGAGCAGTATCACAGCCCTCACACAAATGAAATGAGATTTATGTGGCGCATATGTATTTGGTGCCTCATTGTACCAATATCTATGTGTTTAAATAAATAAATAAATAAATAAATAAATAAATAAATAAATAAATAAATAAATAAATAAATAAATAAATAAATAAATAAATAAATAAATAAATAAAGGTCTGTTATAAAATGATTTCACTTTGATAAAATGTTACGAATATTATAAGTAGATGTGTTTCTGTCTACTGAATTGTGTCACGATTATATAATATTACCGTTGTTGGCCAGGGTAATTTTACGTTGATCTTCAGGAGAACCAGACACCATCCAAACAGTACAACTCAATCCCGTTCAACAGAAGAGCCAGACACTACCCAAGTTTAAAATTTATAGCTCAAA